AAAACACCACAACAAATAACCTTGAAACATACCCGGTACAAATCAAGGGGGGTACCTTATACGGCGTTTTACGGTATATAACAACTCAGATGGAGCGATAAATTTATTAGCACCCTTTCTGAAATATAATAAAAATAACAAGAATCAAGCCTGTTGGCTTTCAAGTAAATGGTGTATGTACAGATAGATGATCCTGAACAACGTCCAGACTTCCAGACTTTGATTCTAAATATAGTGGTATAGTACGGAATACTATGACTATTAAATCCAGTAATTGCCAAATAGGAATTAAAGTGAATAATGTGGTCTGTCAAATGGTTTGATTTATTAACTAAAATTAGGGCAGTCACATGAATATACTATACCAAATATCGATATATACTGTAAATCAAACCAGTAAAACCAATTCGAGGTTAGCGTTAAGAGAAAAACCCCGATTATTTCGTTTCAACCAACTCCTCCTAAATGCAATATGACGGAGCTAATACGTAAAATGAAAAATTTGCACTTGGTGTGTCAGTTAGATTTAGGGTCTATTATAATTGGGGCCATTTAAATTCGGCGAATTCGGCATATTTTGTTGTCAATTTTTCATGTACGTAAATACATATGTACGACTTAATTAACCACGGTTAACTGGTTAGACCAATAAGAATCTTCAATATCGCGTATGATGTGTGTCAAAAAGGAATTGAATAGACGCCAGTTAATTAATAAATAATATAGCAGATAATCAAACCCCCCCAGTTGTCCATGAGGCTTAACAATCACATTTTACTTCAATTTTTTTAATATTGTGTATTTCGTCAACTTTCTCGGGCAAAGTAAAGCATGTTTTCTCCCGCAATAACTGAGCCTGTTGAGATCAAAAATCGTGACAAAACACCAAGTAATAATAACGTTCCTGATACACAGAGAATTAATAATATAAGCCGACTTATTTCCCCTCCACAAGGGCAAAATATTCAATTATCGAAATCTCAACCTAGCATTCAGAATAAACCTGGTACTTCACCTGATATTAGGTTAAGTGCTTCTGGTGGTTATGGAAGGTCTTTCGGATCTTTGGAACATAATTCAGAGGCTATTCCCATTGACATTCCTGATGAAAGAAAGGTAGAGATAGTCAGAAAGCACCTCGTTACCGAGGAAGATTTTGCTCGTAGCGCCGAGAATGGCGGCAGTTCGACAGATCCACTTGCACTTTATTCAACATCTCATCATAAGTTGCGTGGATTAGACGCAACTCATGAGGTTTATAAATGGCATAACAATATAGAAATTGAGCCTATGAAACGTACTCGTTCTCGTTCTTTATATATACCACGACCAACTGATCCAGATATGTCTAATATCAGGGAACCAGGCGGATTTCGTCGTCATCATATGATGATGAAGGCAAGGCAGGAAGGCAAAGAGCTACCTAACATTATAACCCGAAACTTTATCGATTTTCTTGCAATGTACGGCCATTTTGCCGGTGAAGATTTGTCGGATGATGAAGAAGATAAGGAAGATGATATTGTTATTACAGAGATGACTCCGTTGCTTCAAAGAGAAATTCCCACTCACGCTACTGCGTCACCTTCGAAAGCTGTGTTTTTACTTTTAAAATCATTTGTTGGCACTGGTGTTATGTTTTTACCAAAGGCGTATGTTTTATGTTTAATACACCATATACGATTTTTTTGATAATATAATTCGTATCAATTTTTACATCATTAATTAATTAATTATAGGTTCTATAATGGTGGCATGATTTTTTCAACAATAGTCCTGATTGCAATCGCTGCAATATCATTATGCGCATTTTTATTACTTGTTGAAACACGGACTTATGTCCCATATAGTTTTGGTGGTATATATCAAATCTAAAATAATATAATTTGCAAAAATTTTTCGCTAACTAATCTAATTACTAGATATCGGTGGCGCATTATATGGTCGTTGGATGAGACTTGCAGTTCTATTCTCAATAACAATTTCTCAGGTACAAAATTATTATTAATTAAAACTTTAATATATATATATTTATTTATTCTTTTTCACATAGATCGGATTTGTTTGTGCGTACATGATCTTTGTTGCCGAAAATCTCTCTTCGGTTACTAGATATTTTGTAGATATTAAAGAGATGGACATAGCTTGGTTTATTATGGGACAATTGTTTGTTTTCGCACCACTCGCCATGATTCGTCGTATATCCAGATTGTCGTTTACAGCATTGATTGCAGATGCATTTATTATGTTTGGACTATTATATTTATATTATTATGATTTTTATCGATTATCAACAAGTGGCGTCGGTGAAATCAAATCATTTAATTCAGCGGATTTCGCTTTGTTTATTGGCACTGCTGTTTTCACTTTTGAAGGGATTGGTCTAGTGAGTGTTAACAACATTATTAATGTGCCCTTTCCCCCTATAATAAATCCTTATGTTTGTAATTATTTCAAAGATCATTCCAATAACAGAATCTATGAAAGAACCCGAAAAATTTCCCAAAGTTTTAACTGGTGTCATGATCTTCATTACCATCATTTTCACATCAATTGGTGTTTTATCTTATGCCGCTTTCGGTAAAGAAGTTCAGACTGTAGTTATTCTAAATTTACCCCCCAATGACCCATTAGTCCGAATTGTTCAATTGCTTTATGCTTTGGCTATTCTACTTTCTGTACCTTTACAATTGTTTCCGGCCATAAGAATCATGGAACAAGGTATATTTGAGAGAAGCGGCAAAGATAACCTTTTGGTGAAATGGCAAAAGAATTTGTTTCGATTTTTAACCGTAGTAGCTTGTGGATTAATTGCATGGGGAGGTGCATCGGATTTAGATAAATTTGTTTCATTAATTGGATCATTTGCATGGTAAATATATATTTTCTTTAAAAGAAAAAAAATTGTAATGTGTTATGGTATACGATACCATATTTATCTACTTTCGTCTATTCTAGTGTACCTCTATGTTTCTTATATCCGCCCCTTTTCCATATCAAAGCAGCCGCACACACTTTAGGTGCGAAATTACTTGATGTAATTATATTTTTATTTGGACTTTTTTCACTGATTTACACAACTTATATAACTCTTTATAAATGGAGTGAAAACTCTTAAAATCATAAACAATATGTCATGTGCATTTATGTAGTCAAATATATGTTTTAAATTATTAAAAGATATAATCTTATACAGGAAGGGTGAAATTGTATAACAATTACATATATATATATTTCAATAAACTAGACTAATAAAATGTGTGTTAAATCACCATTTATAAATTACACGCTAACACACGAATTTAAACAACCAAATTGAATATCCTCTATTATATATATATGTTATCAAAAATTTTTAGAGCTAACCACAGGCATATAATACGTTACATAGTATAAACAAGAGTGCACTAAACTTATACGTATAAAAGGAAGACATAATAACGGAAAAAATAATTGATTTACGCCGCGAGTCGGATCGGAAGGAAATTTCCGATGATGGCAGACTGTTCAATTTATCAGTAAA